GCTTGCCTTGCATGCCTGAGGCCCTGGGTTCGATTCCTCAGCACCACATAAGCAAAAAGAAAAAAGCCAGAAGTGGCGTTGTAGCTCAAGTGGTAAAGCACTAGCCTTGAGCTGAAGAGCTGAGGGACAGCGCCCAGGCCCTGAGTTAAGGCCCCAGGACTGGCAAAAAAAATTGGCACACATCCTTTTCTTTCCTCTATGGTATCTCAGTGTGTCCTGTCCTCCATCCTTTCCTGCCCATCTTTACTCTTGCTTCTGCCCGTGGCCACATTATAAATGAAGTCAGCAGATGCTGGCCCCTGCTCCTTACTGAAGTCTTTCTGCTTAGCTTTGAAATTTGACTTCTCTCCACATGCTGACTCTTCCCTTCCATTGTTCCACTGACCTCAGGGAGAAACTGGGCTTGGAGCAAGACAGACAGAGGCAGTGGAAGGTTCTGTGGTACCTGAGATGCAGAACATGTCGTAAGCTGAGTGGCATTCTAAACTCCTTCTGGAACTTTACCTCCTGGCCTACATCTATCAAATAGAACCTCCCCTTTCCCACTGCCTCACATTGACTGCTCCTTTGAAAGAGATAGAGGTGAGGTAAAGTGGGAAACTAGCATTTGATGTTTCCTAAAAAAAAAAAAAAGGGCAAAGGAGAGCCAGGCACCAGTGGCTCATGCCTGTAATTTTTTTTCTTTTTTCTTTTTTTTGGGGTCCAGTCATGGGGTCTGGGCCTGGGCACTGTCACTCAGCTCTTCAGCTAAGGCTAGCGCTCTACCACTTGAGCCACAGTGCCACTTCCAGCTTTTTTCTTTTTACTTATGTGGTGCTGAGGAATCGAACCCAGGGCCTCAAGCATGCAAGGCAAGCACTCTACCACTGAGCCAACTTCCCAGCCCTCATGCCTGTAATTCTAACTACTCAAGAGATTGAGATCTGAGGGTCACTAAGGGTAGGAAAGTCTGTGAGACTTTTTTTTTTTTTTTTTGCCCGTCATGGGGCTTGAACTCAGAGCCTGGGCACTGTCCCTGAGCTCCTTTTGCTCAAGACTAACACTCTACCACTTGAGCCACAGCTCCACTTCCAGCTTATTCTGTGTATGTGGTACTGAGGAATCAAACCCAGGGCTTTCTGAATGCTAGACGGGCACTCTACCAATAAGCCACTTTCCCAGCCTTCTGTGAGACTCTTATATCCAATAAAGTACTCAAAAAAAATCCAGAAGTGCAGCCAGGCGCCAGTGGCTCACACCTGTAATCCTAGCTACTCAGGAGGTGAGACCTGAGGGTTGTGGTTCAAAACCAGCCCAAGCAGGAAAGTTGGAGAGACTTTTATCTCCAATTAACCACCCAGAAAACTGAAAGTGGTGTGATATGGCTCAAGTGGTAGAGCACTCACCTTGACCTGAAGAGCTCAGGGACAGCACCCAGGCCCAGAGTTCAAGCCCTGTGACTGACAAAAAGAAAAATCAGAAGTGGCACTGTGGCTCAAATTGGTAGAGCAGTATCCTTGAGCACTGAGAGGCTCAGGGACAGCATCCAGGCTCTGAGTTCAAGCCCCATGACCAGCAAATAAAAGGAAGTGCTGGAGACCATATCCATATCTCTGGGTCTCAAGAACTTGAGAACTTAGTCTCAGAGCCCACCTTTAACTCACTTTATTTCTTTTCTTTTCTCTTTCTTTCTTTCCTTTCTCCCTTTTTTTCTTTCTTCCTTCCTTCCTTCTTTCTTTCTTTCTTCCTTTCTTTCTTTCTTTTTCCTGTCCTGAGGCTTGAACTCAGGGCCAGGGCACTGGCCTTAAGCTTGTTTTGCTCAAGGCTAGCACTCTACCACTTGCGCCACAGTGCCACTTCCATCTTTTTTGTTTGTATGATACTGAGGAATCAAACCCAGGGCTTCATGCATGCTAGACAAGCACTCTCCCACTAAGCCACACTTCCAGCACCCCTCTCCACTTTATTTCATACTCTTCACTCACACACATCTGTTCCCAAAAAGCATGTCAAGTAAAAAAAAAAAAAAGTCAACTCTTGTTTGGACCGATTTATCATTTATTTTTACTATGCAATACAGTCATAGGGTTTAAGATTCAAAATGTTCAGAAAGGTATATTAAGCTAAATAAATTCCCTTCTTCACGTGATCCTCTCCCCAGAGAAAACCAGTGTTACCCTTTTCTTCTAAATATGCATAGATTAAAAATATCATATATGTATATTCTCCTCCTTTCTAAAACATGAATGGGAAGTTCCCTAATACACATTTCTGCACCTTTCCTTTTTTCACTAAAAGAGGATTTAAAGACTCACAATCATTTTTTTAGCGGTATAATATTGCACTGTAAGGTTGCAACAGAACAGATTTGACCAATCCCCTAAGGAAAGACATGTCTATTGTTTGGTTTTTGGGTTTTTTTTTTTGAGGGGTCTGGTCGTGGGGCCTGAACTCTGGGCCTGAGCGCTGTCCCTCAGCTCTTCAGCTCAAGACTAGCACTCTACCACTTGAGCCACAGCACCACTTCCGGCTTTTTTCTTTTATGCTTATGTGGTGTTGAGGAATTGAACCCAGGGCCTCATGCATGCAAGGCAAGCACTCTACCACTGAGCCACTTTCCCAGCCCATGTATATTGTTTTTAATTCCTTGATATTTCTTTGTACCCATCTCAAGTCCAGACCAAAGGAAGGCAAAAGCTGTGGTGAAAAGTCCCACCAGACAACTGCAACTTCACCAGAGATTTAGACTCATTTGCATGTGTGTGTGTTATTGTACAGCTCTGACCTGGGGGTGGAGTTCCCAGGACTTTCTGCTTTTTACTCAGCCTTAGTTTCCTCCCTAGCTCTACAATCAGGCTGCTTCAGCACACAGAGACCATTGGCCAAACATAACCTTGGGTTAAAAATGATCATTAGTTATGATCATGTCACCCCCAAACCAACTGCCATGTTAAATTGAGCTACTACTGTCTCTAAGACTATTTTCCTCAAGGGAGAAAATTAAGACTGGCAGAATGGATAGACAACACCCTCTTCAGGACAGGGATAAGAGCAACTACAACACATAAGTGACAGCTGTAACACTATAAGGTGTTCCAATTGGGTTTTTTGTTTGTTTTTTTCTGGTCCTGGGGTTTGAATTCCGGGCACTGTTCCTAAACCTCTTTGTGTTCAAGGTATGTACTCTACCAGTTAAGCTACAGTGCCACTTCCGGCATTTTTGAGTAATTTATTGGAGATAAGAGTTTCACTGGGACTTTTCTGCCCAGGCTGGCTTTGAACCACAAATCCTCAGATCTCAGCCTCCTGAATAGCTAGAATTACAGAAGTGAGCCACCGGTGTCTGACTCCTATTGTATCTTTTAGACTTTCACAGGCTCAGGACCAGAAGAGACTGAAGTTGAGAAATGATGGCTGGAGGGAATGTTAGGTATTAGAGGGAAATTCCAGAATGTTAAGAGTAGGTAGGAACTCAAGGAGGGAGTAGGCAAAAAGGAAGAAGGTGAGGAGGGGACTTGCAGAGGGGGAGAGAGAGAGAGAGAGAGAGTGTGTGTGTGTGTGTGTATCCTTCCAGCTCATTTATAGATTTGTAAAATTGATAAGAACCCTGTCATGGACTCTCTAGGATATAATCCCCATTGCAAAGTTCCTAGAGATGGCTTAATATTTTTAGAAAGCCAGACAGAAAGCATCTGGAAAAAAGCAAGCCATCCCTCCAGGTTCCTGGTTGGACCATTTGTCTTCTCCCTAGACAGAAACTCAGCAGAGCTGGGGTCAACAAAGCCATGTTCCTGTGTCAAGAACCATAGACTCAAGATATTCTTACAAGGGAGGGAGAGGCAAGAGACGACAGAAAAAGAGAGATGAGCTTAAAATAGACATTACAAGTGTGGGGAAAGAGATGAAAGAACCAGGCTGTCTTCACCAGTGCCTAACCATACAACCAGCACTCTGGTCCTGGGATACCTGGTCAGATTGCCCATGCCAGGGACCACCTAGTTGTGAGAGAAACCCCCATGGGAGAAGGCAGGGAGGCTGGGGGCACAAGCAGCAGTCTGGGACAGACAAGCCAGGGGGTTGACCTCACAGGCCCCAGCATCCTGGTCTGCCCGGAAATAGATGGAATCAGCAGAGGAGAAGGAAGGGTCCTCATCAAAGAAGTTGTAGGGCCGGAGGAAGAAGCCCACTCCATTCCCCACAGTCACCGTGTTGGGAATATCCTCTGCATGGGGGATGTGCAGAAATCCAGCTGTCACCCAGGCCACCAAGTCCTTAGGAGGGGAGAAGAAGAAAGAGGATCATGAAGTTGTGCTAGGAACATACCCTGCCTCCATAATGGCCTTACAGGGAACACAACTCCCTAGTCCATACATCTTGAGTCTTTAAACATTTTTCCCTTTCTTTCTCAGAACTCAAAGGATAGAGAGTCCATTTCATTTTGGGAAGAGCTGGTGGCTCACGCCTGTAATCCTAGCTACTAAGGAGGCTGAGATCTGAAGATCACAGTTCAAAGCCAGCCCAGGCAGGAAAGTCTGTGAGACTCTTTATTTCCAATAAACCACCAGAAAACCAGAAGTGGCACTGTGGCTCAAGTGCCCTGGCACAGAGTTCAAGCCCCACAACCAACAAAACAAAACACCTCCACATGTTGGGAAGAACAGCTGTCTCCCTAAGCCTGACCTGCATACTCCCATTCTTTTACATTCCCTACCACACTGCCTTCTACCTACCACTGCAGTGGTGGCACCCATAGGCTTCTTTTTTTTTGGGTCCGGTAGTGGGGCCTGAACTCTGGGCCTGGGCGCTGTCCCTCAGCTCTTCAGCTCAAGGCTAGCGCTCTACCACTTGAGCCACAGCACCACTTCCGGCTTTTTCTGCTTATGTGGTGCTGAGGAATCGAACCCAGGGCCTCGTGCATGCAAGGCAAGCACTCTACCACTGAGCCACCTTCCCAGTCCCGCCCATAGGCTTCTTCAGCTTCCCTCTTTCTACTTCTCTAAGAGTTGGCAAACAATAACTAAGGATAAAAGAATGAAGGAGGGAAAATCAGGGCTTGGTAGATAGAAGTTGGCTAACATGAAGAAATGCACCCTTCTATAGTCAAGGTTGGGATAGGATAAGCTGTGTATTAAGAGTTGTGATCCTGCTGGGGGCTGGTGGCTCACACCTGTAATCCTAGCTACTCAGGAGGTTGAGATCTAAGGATCATGGTTGAAAGCCAGCCCAGGCAGGAAAGTCCATGAGAGTCTTTTCTCCAATAAAGCACTAGAAAACCAGAAGTGGCTCTGTGGCTTAAGTGGTAGCGCACTAGCCTTGAGCTGAAGAGCTGAGGGAGAGAGCCCAAGCCCAGAGTTCAAGCCCCAAGACCAACACACACACACACACACACACACACACACACACACATATACACACACACACGCACACACACACATACACACAAAGAGTTGTGACCTTGGGGCTGGCAAGGTGGCTCAGTGGTAGAGTGCTTTCCTTGCATGCATGAGGCCCTGGGTTCGATTCCTCAGCACCATATAAGCAGAAAAGCTGGAAGGGGTGCTGTGGCTCAAGTGGTAGAATGCTAGCTTTGATCAAAAGAAGCTCAGAGAGCTAGCCTTGAGCTGAAGAGCTCAAGGACAGCACCCAGGCACAGAGTTCAAGGCCTATGACCAAAAAAAATAAAAAGTTGTGATCTTTCCTGGTAACTTCCAGTTCTTGAATCCTCCAGCCTGGAAAGGGCTCAGTACACAAATCTGGGACTTTCTGGACTGTATGGGGTCATGAGGACAGTCCTGCTCCTTGCCCAGAATTTACATGTGACTTCCTAGCTCAGGAAGGATATAGATTATATTGACCCGAGCAGCTAAAGTACAAAACATATCTGCTTCACCCCCAAGGAAATGAGACAATTTTCAAGAATCCTAAAAGGAGGCAAGTTTCCTCCTTGTATTCTACCTCGTTCCCACACAACTCACCTCTCCTGCAATGGTCTCATTGTTGATGAAGTCAGCAAAATTCATGGTGGGAGTCCAAGGGTCATTCTGATGGAAGATGTTGTTACTACCGGGCTCCTCCTCTTTCCGCCTGGTCACAGCCAGCTGGTACCTAAGGGGGTACTGGTTAGATCCCTGTGGTCAATAACAATATCCTGCCATCTCATTGTGAATGACGGAAGGAAGCTGAGTACTCTCACCTCAGCTTCCATTTGCACTCATACAGCAACTAGGGGCTGTGGAGTCACTGAGGCCACCCGGGTGAGGGGTGGGAGTTATATCTTCCTGTTGACCCTACTGCTATTGCTCAAGTCTAATACTCTACCACTTGGGCTCCACTGACACTTCCTGCTTTTTGCTGGTTAATTGGAGATAAAAGTCTCATGGACTTTTTTTGCCCAGTGTTGGCTTCCAGCCAGGATCCCCAAATCTCAGCCTCCTGAGTATAGGATTATAGATAGAAGCTATCAGCACTCAGCTGTGAGTACAATTTTAAACTATTTCCAGTGCCCCTCTAACTCTCCCTTCTCATGTGCATCATGACAGCCCGCCACTCACCTCCCCCAGCTGATGGCTTTTTCCATGGAGCTCTCCTGGGGCACTGGTTTCCCAGCAAAGCTGAGTGTCTGGATGCGGTAGCCCCGTGGGTGACCCCACTTGTTGCTGTGATTACTAGCCAGGTACACGTAGCGGGGGATGGGACCTCCCATGGGGAAAGCAGCCTGTTCCTCTGTCTCCAGCAGCTTCCGGGTCACCTGCAGCCTCTGTATCTGATACTCAGGATTCCAGGGCACTGCTGTAGGGACAAAGGCCATGTCCTCTGCCCAGACCCAGTTCTCTAGTCCTGTGTGAGATGAATGAGGAGAGGGCTAGTCATGCAATAACATTGGCCTTTCCTGGCTTCAGAGTGGAAGTCAAAAAGCAACCAAGAACTGAGTGTGCTTGTGCCCTCTTCTTTGCTTCCTTGCCCCCAAATATCTCTTTTTTTTTTTTTTTTTTTGCCTGAACTCTGGGCCTGAGCACTGTCCCTCAGCTCTTGAGCTCAAGGCTAGTGCTCTACCACTTGAGCCACAACACCACATCTGGCTTTTTCTGCTTATGTGTGCTAAGAAATTGAACCCAGGCCTAATGCATGCAAGGCAAGCACTCTACCACTGAGCCACCTTCCCAGCCCCAAAATACCTCTAAACCTTCAGGCAAAGGTGTTGACATATAAATTTAAATATTTCTTCAAAGGTATTATTTATTCTTCCTTTCAACTTTTTTTTTTTTTTTGGTCGGTCATGAATCTTGATCTCTGGACTTGGGTGCTGTCCCTCAGCTCTTCAGCTCAAGGCTAGCCTTCTACCACTTGAGCCACAGCGCCACCTCCAGTTTTCTAATGGAGATAAGAGTCTCACAGACTTTCCTGCCCGGGCTGGCTTTGAACCATGATCCTCAGATCTCAGCCTCCTGAGTAGCTAGGATTACAGGTGTGAGCCACCAGCGCCCGGCTGTGAGACTCTTTTATCTCCAATTAATCATAGAAAAAGTCAGAAGTGGCACTGTGGCTCAAGTGGTAGAGTGCTAGCCTTGAGCAAAAGGAGCTCAGGGACAGTGTCCAGGACTGGCAAAAAAAAAATTGTGGTTATTGCCAGGCACCACCAGTAGCTCATACCTGTAATCCTAGCTACTAAGGAGGCTGAGATCTGAGGATCACAGTTCAAGGCCAGCCCAGACAGGAAAGTTTGTGAGATTATCTCCAATTAACTACCAGGAAACTGGAAGTGGCACTGTGGCTCAAGTGGTAGAGTGATCACCTTGAGCTGAAGAGCTCAGGGACAGTGCCCAAGCCTAGGGTTTGAGCCCCACAACCAACAACAACAACAAAAACATGTGTTTTTGTTTGTGTTGGTCCTGGGACTTGACCTCAGGGCCTGGTAATCTCACCTCAGTTTTTTGGCTTATGGCTGGCACTCTGCCATTTGAATCACACCTCCCTCCAGTCTAACTTTTTTTAACTAGTTAATTGGAGATAATAGTCTCTAGGGACCGTTCTGTCCTAGCTGGCTTTGTACTGTAATCTTTACATCTCAAGCCTTCTGAGTAGCTAGGTAGCATGAGCCACCAGCATGTGGTTTAAATTTAAAAATGAGCAAAACTAAGAATTCACGACAGGAATACATTAAGATTTAGTGTGGGGGATGCTGTTCCTAAGGAACATTCAAAGTGGAGGCCTGGGGAGCACATGTTACAAAAACACAGGGAACTAGGAGGAAGAGAGGCATATCCCACACGCCTCCATGTCCCACCATACCCTCAGGCCCAGAAGTCCTAGTAAGAGAAAAGGGGCAAGTCTGGAACACAGTCTGCTAGACGGTAGGGGGTGCATGCCACAGGATTGACACTGCAGCACCCAGCATCCTGGCCCTTCTCAAGGAGGTAGATGCTGCCTGGGGAGAAGATGGAAGGGACCTCATCAAAGAAGTTGTAGGGTTGTTCGCCATGGTCATTGTGTTGGGAACAGCCTCAGCATGGGGAATGTGCAGGAAGCTGGCTGTAACACAAGCCACCAGAGCTGGAGAACTCTGGAGGTAAGATACAATTACTCCTCAAGCATGATTCCCAGCCTCTAGCCTCAGCCTGGCTTCTGCCTCCTCCCATCCTCATTTCTACTAAACATGCAAAGTGGCCTGTGTAATCAGGTTGGGGGCGGAGAACAGGGTTCTAGAGCTTACCTAGGATGATCTGCATTGGTCATCAGAGAATTCCTTGGCCTCCCAACTCTGAGAACTGGAAACCATTCCCTCCCATCTATGGTCAGAGCCTGGGCAGCCAAGATGCCAGGCATAGAGGATTTCTTTTCCCCTTTGTCCTTTGAGCTACCAACCTCTCTTAAGAGGGTTTCATTGTTGATGAAGTCAGCAAAGGCTGTAGTGGAGCTTCAGATGTCATTCTGGTAATGGATACTACAGCTATGATTCTTCTTCCTTCCTCTGGGTCACAAGCTGGTATCTCACCAGGAACTTTAGGCAGTGTTGGAAAAACATCAAGAGCCTTTACTAGCCTGAAGTCCTTTGGATTTGATTCTGTAAAACCACTTCCCGTGGGCTGGAAGGTGACTCAGTGGTAGAGTGCTTGCCTTGCATGCATGAGGCCCTGGGTTCAATTCCTCAGCACCACATAAGCAGAAAAAAGCCAGAAGTGGAGCTATGGCTCAAGCGGTAGAGTGCTAGCCTTGAGCTTGAACAGCTGAGGGCCAGGTCCAGAGTTCAGGATGGGGGAGGGGGGAACACGACACACTTCCCACCCTTCATCTACTTGTATTTAAGGGAAGGTTCAGGGATGAATGGTAAGCCAAGGGGTAGTGAGTTGAGCTCTTAAAGGGCTGGGAGGGAATCCTTCCTCCCCCACTGCCCAGGACCCTCCTCACCTCCCCCAGCGAGGAACTTCTCCCTGTTGCTCTCCAGGGGTACATGTATATAAAGGGGGCTGTGAATCCAGATTTGGTATCCATGCTGGTGACCCTAGGCTGGTTTAGTCTGGTTGCTAACCAGGTAAAGGTAGCGGGCAAGAAGGCTTCCCCAGGAAAATACTTGTCAGGTTCTCCCTTCCTAGGACCTGCCATGTCAGTTGTGGGCATTACAACTGATGCTATGGGATCTAGGGGGCTGGCCCAGGTTTAAACACCATGTCTGCAGAGTAGAGAAGAAATCCACACCAATAAGGTTCAGCTGGTGCCCATGAGGCACTAGCCTAACCAAAGGCATCAGAGAACACACAGTGAGGGGAACTTTGGACAGGTGCTAGCCCATTTTCTTCCAACTTACCTTGTCCAATAGAATAACTACTACTCATATGTGGCTATTTAAAAATTCAGCTCCTCAGTTATGCCAGCTACATTTGAAAGCACACAAAGTACTGCTGCACTGGGTGCTGCATGCCTATAATCCTAGTACTCTAGAGGTGGAGGCAGGAAGATCCAAAGTTCAAGGCCAGGGGCTGGGAAGGTGGCTCAGCGGTAGAGTGCTTGCCTCGCATGCATGAGGCCCTGGGTTTGATTCCTCAGCACCACATAAGCAGAAAAAGCCGGAAGTGGCATTGTGGCTCCAGTGGTATAACACTAGCCTTGAGCTGAAGAGCTGAGGGACAGTGCCCAGGCCCTGAGTTCAGGCCCCATGACTGGCAAAAAAAAAAAAAAGTTCAAGGCCAGTATGGGCTACAATAGCAAAACGAGTCTCAAAAATACAATCAAAACAATAAAGAAGCCATTGGTGGCCTACACCAGTAATCCTAGCTACTCAGGAGACTGAGATCTGAGGATCATGGTTTGAAACCAGCCTGGGGAGAGAAGTCCCCATGAGACTTTTATCTCCAATAAACTGTTCAAAAACCGGAAGTGATGCTGTGGCTCAAGTGGCAGATCAGAGCATTAGCTTAGAACTGAAGAGCTCAGAGTTTAAACCCCACAATTGACGAAAAACTAAAAACACCCAAACAAAAAACAATAAAGAATTCAGTAGCCACATTCATCTAGAGGCTCCTGTATATCACAGAAAGTCTATTGATATATTGCTCTACTCAGTAAACCCTGGTCCATTTGCTTCTCTGATATCTCTGCATCAGGCATGATGAAAGTTGTTTCATGGCTCTGCTCAATAAATAGAAAAGCACATTACAAGTAATTAGTCACATTCTTATAGTTCTGAAAAGGAACTTGTCCAGGGAAGTTAAATGGAAAAACCTAATCCCCCTTCGGAGTCTATGTTCTGATACTTTCTCAACAGTCTCTTTCCAGAGACTGCCAATATCTGCCGATTGTCTAAGAGGACTGTATAGACTTCTAATGGACCCACAGCCTTCATTACCTAACACAGCACTTGATCATTTAATGTGAGGACTTGCCACAAGCCACCTGACACACAGTTCCCATAGCAGCAGCCCGAGCTGAAAACACTTGTATCCTATGTTACTTGATTTGACTTCACAAAACAAGGTTCTTGAATGCCAAAAATGCTGAAGAAACGTCCAACTGGAAAAGTCAGTCCAAATATGTCAGAGAGCAGTCGAGCTAAAATGATTGTTCCAACCATGTTATTTTCTTAGTTCTGTCTCCTACATCCCCACAATTCCAAGTGCCTGCAGGTCACATATGATGGCCTTCATGCTCGAGGTTAAGATTTTTCACTGCCTTATACATTGGTCAGAAACTTCCTGCCCCATCTACCCCTGCCTGCCTTGGTTTCCCCAACTATAAAATGGAGACCATCTGGTAAATTTCTAATTTTCTTATTAGATCTAGGTCTGGGCCTTGGTAAGGTTGTTTTCTGTCCTTGACAGTATCAGGACCAGCTCTATGAGCCTTCAACACCCCTTGAGAAAGCCTTGTTACACACCTGTCTCAACATTGGAGGGTTCACTGTATTGGAGGGTTCATTGTATTGACAGGACAGACCTTCTCAGGGATGAATGAGGTACTAACTGGAGTAACTGCCCCAAGGCCCCAGGCGCACCCATGGCAAGACACTGAAGCCAGATTGCTCTCCACTGCCCATGTTCGGAATTAGTGAGCAAGAAACAAAATACATTGCTCAGCTCCATCCACTTTTGACTAGGCTAACTTCCCCAGTGTCATCCAAAGCTGGCAGCCAGGCACCCATTATTATATTCATACTAGTTTCACAATTATAGCCAGTACTAGAGGTTCGTAGATGGGGGCTGGGCCTAAGAACCTCTTTCACCTTTGGCCAGATACCAAGCCATGGCTGCAGCTGCACACACTGAGTCCTTGGCTCCTGTCTGTGGAAACCACTGAAGCTGGAATGTCCTCTTCCCTGAGATTTGATCTGGGGGATTCCTTCCTTCCCCTCTACCCCACTCCCAACCTTCAGTCCTCACACAGAGCACTCACCTGCAACATCCAGTTCCACCTTGAAGTAGAAGGCATGTGCACACCACTCCCAGCACTTGTTCTCCCATAGGGTTCCCAAAGAGGAGGCTTTCCACTCCTCTGCTCAGGAAAGCTGTTGATATATCCTGTGGCATGGACCCACCTTCAAGGACCCCATTTGGGTACAATATAAAGTCTCAAATGTAGTCATAATTGCCTACAGCTGACCACAGACCCAACCACCAGGGCTGAGCTGGCCAAACCACCGAAGAAATGACTCCCAACATAACTGTAGTGCCTTTGAAGTGGTAGTCCCTGGGCCTCCTCAAATACATAGCTCCCAGAAGCAGTTGGACTGTCCCAATTAATACGCTGATGCCCACTACTGTGCCTTGATAGCGGCACCATTCCCTGAACCAAGCCTCAGCTGATCCGGCCAAGTTGATAGTTATATCCATTATAACGAGTTATCATCTTGGGTGAATTGGCATTGCAGACACTCTGAACACTGACTTCACAGGCTACTCACTCGCTCTTGAACCAAACCCCATGGCCAAAGGGGAGTCCAGAGGGGGATATCACCAAGTTACCTTGTACACTGTACTGAAAACCCTGGGGTATGAACTGAAGAGGGGGAAGAGCTGGGGTAACTTGGGACAAGCCCATTTGGTGAGGGAAGAGGGACTTTTAACAACTTCTGGATGGTCAGCCCCACCTCCCCCCACCCCCCGCTTTTTTTTTCTGTTTGGCAGTTGTGGGGCTTAAACTCTGGCCCTGGGCACTGTCCCTCAGCTCTTCAACTCAAGGCAAGCGCTCTACCACTTGAGCCACAGCACTACTTCTGGTTTTTTAGTGGTTTATTAGACTTTCTTGCCTGAACTGGCTTGAACCATGATCCTCAGATCTCAGCCTCCTGAGTAGCTAGGATTATAGGCATGAGCCACCAGTGCCCAGCTAAGATGGCCAGCTTTAAACTCCTCTTCCAACTGGCCCAAGTCTGCATAATAGTGACCCAGGTAGAAGACCTTTGGACAGCCGGTGGGCAGGGTCCAGGGCTGTATGGTCCAGCAGTAGTTCCAGCCCCCAGAGGATGAAGAAAAAGACCAAAACCTGAGATGTTATGGTAGAAGGGTACCCAGGTAATCCAATTCCATGAGCAGAAGTCACTAGAAAAGGCACTCAAAGATGTTCAAGTGGAACCACTGTAATTCAAAACAGAAGCCAGGAAGCTGGGTGCCCTGGGTAGTTCCACCTCTTTCAAATGCCTTCCACATCTGGACAAACAACTCTCAGTTGTGGGGGTGTTGGTGACAGAACACTGGACCACCATGATGTGCCAGTCACAACCTGCACGTAGGAGTGGTGAGGCAACAGCCTCACAACCAGCTCACTGACACTAGGTTGGTGTTGTCCAACAAAGACGATGGCAGTGCTTCCTGAGCAGGTGGGGGGCTCCTTCTGTCCAGGTGAGCCAAGGCTGCAGCCTTGGGGGGCAGCTGCAGCTCCACTGAGAAGACCCAGTTGTCAGAAGGCTAAGCCTAGGCTGCATCCACTAGCCCTGGCCCTAGCTTTTTGGTGAGAAAGTCCATCACAGCTGTCAGCTCCTCTGGGCTGAGGTCTGCAAACATCTGGCTGGCCACTGGGATATACTGAGGGGCAGTTAAGGTGGGCTGAAACCACCTTATTAGTCAGCAAAACACAGGCACAAAGATGACAAAGGACAGTACCAGGAATATGAGGATCACCTTGAGATTCATGGTAAGAGGTGCCAAGTACTCCCAGCAGCTCTTTCCAGGTCTGACATCAAGGCAGGGCTTATATTAGGATGGTGAGATATGGAGAAAGCTCTACGCTATGGGTAGGACAGGAAATCCCTGAACTTGATTTATGTAATTTTGTTCCAATTTTCTGTCCTGTGATTTGGCTCAGGGTATTACTTCCACCTGTATTGTCCTTTCCGGGCCCCATGTAATGACTCCTACTGGTAGCAGTTGGTACCAACTATTCATTTCCTTCATTTAGACCAGAGGAGAAGCCATCTGGACCAGTGATACTAAACTTCACCTTCAACCCAGGAATAAAAATCTCTAATGCCCAATCCTGTCCTGCATATAAGTAGACACTAATAGATCCTTATTAATCCTCTTAGCAGGCATTACACCTCAACAGCTCTAGGATCCACTGCTGGGTTCAGCAGTGAGCACTCAGTTCTGCCTGTGACCTGAAGCTAACTAAACCTTTGATTTTGGAGTCTAAGGCTTTTTTAAAATCTAGTCAGTGAGAAATGCGTAGTTGAGAGCCTAGGCTTAGAACTCAAGTTGTATACTGATCCCAGATTTCTAAGCTATGTGACTTTAGGGGAGATACTCAATCCTGAGTCCTTACTCATAGAGAAGGCATAAAACTACCCTACACATTCTTAAGAGATTAAATGTGACTGAGCAGATCAAGTGTGTAACAGTCCAACAAAGGGTAAAAAGTTGCTAGCTATTGGTAACTAATCTCTTGCAACAGAACAGCAGATATACCTCCATGGTTGGAGACCTTAAAACTCTTTGCAGACAATGAGGGGTTAATTGGAAACCAGAAAGCTATTTGCAAGGTAGAAAGTTGAGGAAACTTTTATTTCAGAGGAGATAAGAATCCTAGGCAGCCCTCCAAGTAATTTGAAACCAAAACCAGGAGTCTCCTCAAGAAATTTAAGACATTATTCAGAGAGGAGAATTAATATAAGGTAAAGAAAATGACTAGGTAGGGTACATGTTGAACAGGTAATTCTTCACATGGAACTACAGCAGCCTCTACTGGCAGCTCATGGGTATCACTGAGGAAGAAACTGGGATCTTGTGCAGGGAGGACAGAAGGCAGCTTAGGTTTGGAAGAGCTAACTTTCCTATTAGTTCACACTGAACACAACCAAAGGACTCACCCTCTCCTCTTTCTCAGCAGAAGCCTGTCTTTCCTTATCCCAGAGACAAGAGGCAGCTCAGTTGGCAAAAGAATACACAATTGGGTGGCTACTGTGTCTGTGGAGGTGGTATCCAAGAATGCATGCACACATCAGTATGTCCCTAGCCACCACAGCATGGCACCAGGGTCTACAGCTTTAGAAAGAGGTCAAAGTACCTGTATTTTTAATAATTTCTTGACATTGTAAAAGAATTTTACATTACGATCCAAGGGTGGTAGGGCGAAGGGGGGCAGTAGAACAATCAAACTAAAAGGGAGATGGAGAAACACATGGTGGGAGGAGGGAAGGGATTTAGTTGGGGCTGGAGGGTGGGTGAGGGGTTCTGCTCAACTAAAATGCTATTGGTTTGTTACTGAGCATATTCATGGGAAGAAAGCATCCAGACTCCTTTTCTACAGAATACTGGGAGCAGAACTGATGCATCCTGGGTGGAAATATGATCAGGGGTGGAAGACAGATATGGGGCAGAGTAAAAGTCAGAAGTAGACACTGAGTCACTGGTAGGCTGACCACAGATATCAACTCTCGTGAGGGGGGAGAATAAAAAAGCTGAAGGATTAACATAAAAGTTGTAACAATAAATGATATTTCTGGAAGATTCAAGAGGCAATTCTATAGTTTGGACCTGCTCGAATTTACACACATATACACACGCGTGCACGTGTGTATGTGCATGCACATACATATACACACTAATTACTGCTTTCCCTGGAAGCACAATACTATAAATAAGAGAAATATTTCCCAAAGGGAAAGCCCAACAGGAGCGGCAGCATCTGGACCTCACAGCTGCAGACACCTCACCCCCATGTACACCTGCCCTGGAAGAAAGCAAGCAGGAGTCAGAGGACCAGCTTTTACATAACACCAAAAATAACTTGAGCCTCAGAGGAAAAGGTCTTCCCCAGTCCTCTGCTTCTCAGCTCTTGGTTCTCCTTCAACCTACCCTGGACACCAAGTGGCTACAATATCAGGAGGAAGGATAAGCCCAGGACTTTTGCCTGGGTGGATGACATTGAGACAGCTGAAAGTTGTCTGTGTGACAGATGGGGGTGGTGGTGAAGGAAGAGGATAGGTTAGGTAATGGAGTAGGAAAATGTATACTCATATCCATATGTGTGTATATGTATACACATGTGTTTGGGACAACCCCAGTTATAGAATCAATTAGGAACATGGCTGAAGACCTTACATATTCCTTATTAGATCAGGTTCAAGGTAGGAGGAATATAGATGGGAAACCCTAAGTCATCACCAGGAAAAATGGGGCAGGGAGGACCACCCAATGTCCCATACAGAAGCAAGAGACACAGCCTGACAGGAAGCAAGATGTCTCTCCCATCTCCACCACCCCAAGTTTCTAAAAAAAACACCTAGCACTTTCCCTATAGCAACCTCAGCTTTTAAACAACCAATCATCAAAAGGAAGAAAACACAAAGCCTAAGACACAGGAGGAGAGAAGGGGAGAGAGAAAACACAAGTATTCTTGTGCCAATATCCTGCACACACAAATCTGGAATTCTCCAGAAATCAGGGCAGGCTGAGTATGGAGTATTAGGGAAGAAGACAGAGTTCCTGAGGCCTGAAAAAAGAGGTAACACATCACAGAACTAGATGAGAGTTTCATTAGACTCTAACTAAAAACAGAGAGGTGTGATTACTATTTCCAGCCAGTTTCCCCATCACGATAGTCATGTAACAAACCAAGGCAATGTCGGTCTTGAGCCAGACTCACAGAGTCCCCTGGCCCTGGCCCTGGCCCTGGCCTCAGTACAGTGTCTCTGCATTACTGCTCCGGGGCCGTTTGATCTTCTCAATGTTTTTCAGGATCATGTCATGTAGAGTTACCTGGGAGAAAAGGATCAGGAAATCACATATCTGTTCAATTTCACTAAGAAAATGAAGACACCATCCCCCCAACTAATCCCTAAGCAATTATTCACATCGTCTCAATCTCACTCTCAAGTCTATATACAGTATGGCTACATTACTTCTATTAAACCCTTAAATTGGGTACAACTGGGTATTGCTAAGGCCCCAGTTGTCTAACACCCCTTAGCACTTAATATACTGAGAATTGAGAACTTTCATGTACTAGCTTTTTTTTTTTTTTCCCGATCATGGGGCTTGAACTTTGGGCCTAGGCACTGTCCCTCAGCTCTTGAACTCAAAGTGAACACTCTATCACTTGAGCCACAGCACCACTTCCAGTTTTCTGATGGTTAATTGGAGATAAGAGTCTGCCTAGGCTGGCTTTGAACTGTGATTCTCTGTTCTCAGCCTCCTGAGTAGCTACGATTACAGACATGAGCCACCAGCACCTGGTTTAGCTTACTTATTTTAAATCCCTTTTTGTGTTGTACTCAGAATTCAAACTCTATTTCAGAGAGAAAAACTTGAAATCTGAGCTTGAACAAGGTCAAGGCTACACATTACAGGTAAGTTTGGTTTCAAACCTACTAAGTCTTCTGACTAAAACCTGCTATATATTTTTGTGTTGGTACTGGGGCTTGAACTCAGGGCCTAGGTATTATCCCTGAGTTTCTTTTTTTTTTTTTTTTTTTGGGGGGGGGGCCCAGTTGTGGGGCCTGAACTCTGGGCTTCAGTACTATCTCTCAGCTCTTCAGCTCAAGGCTAGCGCTCTACCACTTGAGCCACAGCACCACTTCCGGCTTTTTTCCTTTTGCTTATGTGGTGCTGAGGAATCGAACCCAGGGCTTCATGCATGCAAGGCAAGCGCTCTACCACTGAGCCACCTTCCCAGCCCAATCCCTGAATTTCTTTTGCTCAGTGTTAGCACTCTATTACTTGTGCCATAGTGCCACTTCTGGCTTTTCCTGAGTAGCTTATTGGAGATAAAAGTCCCAATGACTTTCCTGCCCAGGCTAGCTTTGAACCTTTGATCCTCAGGCTTAAGCCTTCTGAGCAGCTAGGGTTACAGGCATAAGCCACTAGTGTCTGGAAAAACCCACAATATTTTGTATATATCCTCTACCCACTAAGAAAATAGCCCGGGCTGGAAATGTGGCTTAGTGGTAGAGTGCTTGCCTAGCAGGCATGAAACCCTGGGTTCGATTCCTCAGTACCACATAAACAGAAAAACTGGACATGATGCTGTGTCTCAAGTAGTAGAGTGCTAGCCTTGAGCAAAAGAAGCCCAGGGGATGTGAAGGGTAAACAAAGGAGGAGGATGCAATGCTTGGTAAGAAATGTACGCATTATCCTGCCCATGCAATTGTAACCCCTCTGTACAGTATGTTCACAAATTAAATTAAATTAAAAAAAAAAAAGAAGCCCAGGAATGGTGCCTAGGCCCGGAGTTCAAGCCCCAGAACTCGTGTGTGTGTGTGTGTGTGTCTGTCTGTCTGTCTGTCTGTCTGTCTGTGTCTGTCTGTCTGTGTGTGTGTGTGTGTGTGTGTCTGTGTGTCTGTGTGTGTCTGTGTCTGTGTGTGTCTGTCTGTCTGTGTAGAGAGAGAAAAAAAAAAGCCAGGAGAAAGAGAAAGTGTAAAAGAAAAGAAAAAAGCCAGGCATGGCAACTCAAAACTATAATCCTAGTAACTTATGAAACAGTGATTGGGAAATCACAGTTAAAGGCCAGTCAGTGCAAAAAAACACCTCAAGAGACTCCCATCTAGGCATGGTGGTCCTATCATCCCAGCTACAGAGGAAACACAATGGCTGTGCATAGTGGTTTGCCTGCTACCTCTACAACTCAAAGAAGTACAAACAGGAGAATCACAGATTGGCCCAAACAAGCAATCTTAGGGGGGTAAAGCACCTGCCTA